GTTTAATAGGTATTGCATGATTGGTGGGCAGGGTCAAAAAGGGATTATTATAATGACATGGCACCTCGGAACTAAGTGTTAACCCTTTTTTGAGAAATCATGCTCAAGTATATGAACCCAAATTGCATATTAAATAAGTTTACAAGAACCACTAAAATTAATCTTAATCTTTTTTTAAGAAATTTTACTTACCTAAATACATGTAGGTACTTAGTTTTAGACCAAATTACTTCCCAAAAATGGCCTTTTATTATTATCTATGTCTGTAATTTTTAATTTACTTTAATTATTAAGTTTAATAATCCTAAGATTTGCCTACGCCCATGGACGACAACGAAATTCAGGCAAATTTTATGACACTTCATGATTTATTACTCTACACTCTTTTGAAATAGACTATAGATGTGATGAAACTTTGGTGTAATAATAATCGTCTACAACTGAACGTATCCAAATGTGAAATAATATCAGTTACAACAAAAAAGCAAACTTTAATCAACGATTATTCAATCAACAAAACTACAATCAACCGCATACATGAGATAAAAGATCTTAGTATAACATACGACAGTAAATTGATAGTTACAACACATATAGGGAATATGACTGCTGATGCAAATAGGATGCTTGAATTCATTTACAGAAATGGCAAAAACTTCAAAAGTATTGCCACTTTAAAATTGCTTTATGTTGCGTATGCCAGAACTAAGTTAGAATATGGCTCTGTGTTATGGAATCCAGTTTACGACTATACCAAAAAACATCAATTGAGAGCGTGCAAGTTCCTAAAATACTTATGTCTAAAAGTTGATGTCAATACCCCCCGAAAGGCATCGATCAAAACATTTTGTTGACACGATTTGACACGACATTTTTGGAAAATGGGAGAGTTATCCTTGGTATAAAATTCCTGCATGAATTACTAAACAACAATATTGACAGTACGGTTCTTTTACCCGAGATCAATTTCTCAGTACCAAGAAGTGAAGGTCGACACAATCTGAAATTGAAATGCGAAGCATCACGCACAAATGTTATGCTACGATCACCATCGAAATTTATGTGCAGAAGCTTCAATAAAATATGTGAACACTGCGATATTCGTTTCGACTCTCTGAATGCCTTGGCATCTTGTATCCACAATCACTTTTAATAATACTATAAATAACATTTGTGTCAGTACTGCTACATTGCATGATTTGTAACTTTTTGTGTATATACTCAATTTTTCATTCCTCTCTTGAAATTCTACTTATACGAATATTTTATATATACTTTGTTTCAGCATTTACTTTTATACATTTCTATATTCCATTATTTTTAATATTCATTTCATATATACTGTGTAATAATAGCATTTCCTGTAACTGGGTACTCCTGTTGGAAATGAATCGGTTTTTTTTTCTTTCTTTTTGTAGTAAATGCGTTTGGAACAACTCGAGCACGATTACCACATCGACCGTTACCACTTCGCCTTTGATAATATCTGCCGGAGTAAATGACGAAAAATCAGGAATGAAAAACCTGCAGACCACGGCCCAAAAACTCAAAAAATAGCTTCCATACAAATCACTGCGGAAGACACGACGACGAGCACCAAATGGGATTCAAAGGATACTCACCCCAGTGAACCGGAAATAAGAATACCGGTGTTATCACTAACAGTTGAACATTTGTTGATTCTACGGGATGTATTGCTGTGACAGAAAATGCAGTAGGTTGCTTGTATTTGTGGTGTAATTTGTGAAAGTGCTTGTAGAGGAACGGCCAGTGATAAATACGATGTATCCAGTAGGTTGTATAGTCCTGAAACAAATATAGATATATATGAAAGTGTTTCACGAAGATAAAAATTGAAATTGTATTCGTCTGAAGATTTGTTTTGTAGTTTTTCATTCAGGTGAGCATGGATCGTGAAACTTGTTTAGAAAGTACGTAGATTTTAACATGAAGTTTGGCGCCACCTATCCCTGTATCCCAAGAAATTCTTCATTTTCATGGCAGAAAAACCTATTATCATAGACAGCCAACTGAATCTTTCCTCCAACAACCCGAAAATATACTCGAATTCAAACGAAAGACTGATCAGCTATCAAAAAAAATTGCCTCATCTATTTCGTCAAAAGAATATAATTTGATCCTTTATTAGAAAATACAATTTGCATGTTGTTTTCTTGAATTGAACAATCGATAATTCAATTCAATCAATGGACTGACCAGTTACTTGAATTAATGACGAATAACAGAATCCATAATAATTGTTTATTTAATATCATCAATCGATCATTGAAATTGCAAATTGTACATATTCATATAACCTTGTTGCAAAAGGTCGTTATGGTATCATTTACTACTGTTGAATGAAGGTGAAAATCGAACTGATTTGGAAATAATAATTTGAAGTGGTCTGTGGTTTCAACACAAGACAAAAGAGTATCTAATCTGTTGTATACGAGTAGTAGATGGGATTGAGCAGAATCCATTTCGTTCTGTTTTGCGATATCCAGTTTCGTGTCTCCCACAAAATTACGAATTATAGAGTTAGGATGGACATTCAAATTGTTGAGTTTTTTTCACTAGAATTGAGGAAGAAAAAGAAATAGGAATTGGTATTCACAAGAGGGAAAGTGTAATAACAAACTCCTGAGCGTTTTTGCTTGAGAAAAACTATTCTCAGTTCAGCATTCTGTAAAAAGTTAGTTTATTCATTCATTTATTTAGTTTCATAGGAAAATAAACAGGGCAAATCCAAAGACAGTATTAACATATATATTACAAATGAAACAAAAATGAACATAGCAAACAGTGGTGAAAGTATGGCACAAATTAGGCATTCGAATTGAGTTTGAATATAAAAGTGATCAGAAAATTAGAAAATGTATCAATGTCTATACTTTTCAGGCAATGTTGCAGATGATAATTCATGACACAACGAAGGATATTTATTGCATTCATATTGGAACCAACAAGATTCGACATTCAAATTATATAGGTAACTCTCAACCTGCTGAAAAAAAAAGAAATCCATGAAGCAACCATCAAATTCTTCAAGGAGAATTATAAAATTATTGGTAAAATGAAGGTTATTGGTCTTTCCATTGGTACCCCAAGAACAACTTCCAATTTTGTTAATTATGACAAACAGTTCAAAATTTTCAGGGAAACTGTAAAATTTATCTTTACTGAAACTATTTCAATCATTTTCGTAATGGTTTCAATTCAAGTTCCACCGGTAGACAGCCTATTGAGCATCGTCAGTACCGGGCAGGCGGTCCTCGATTGAAGACAAAATGTGAATAACTAAGATTCAATATGGAAATGATCAGAATAGTATAAGAGGAAGTTTGATATTTTCAAGCTGCTGGAAAATAATTCCATATACATTCAATATGGGAGGATTTTCTTGTGAATGTTTTCCAGCAGCTTGACTGCATTAACCTTTCTCTATTTCATATCATTTCTAGAAACATGTGGATTCGTGGTTGGCTTCCCAAACGTTTGCTATCGCAGTTATCGGTTCATTGGTCAAACCACCAACACTGACATAAAAACTTAGAAAGTTGACTTAGGTGTCACCCCAATAGGTGGTTCCACTTATGCCTCACTTACGTTATCACAGTTATTTTTATTAAGTGATTTTCTTGATTATTCACATTTTGTCTTCTATCGAGGACCGCCCGCCCGGTACTAACGATGCCCAATAGGCTGAAACAGCTGTTATCGGTGGCTCTCAAATTTAAATCAATGTGGAGGTGATCAGAATGGTACTTTATTTATCTTTTATTTGTCAATTGATGAAAAGATCCACACCTTACTGCACTGAAATATCAGTCAATGCATATACACTAAAACTGTTCTCTAGCTTCTTTGAAGTCAAAATTTCCGTAACAGCATTATTGTTTTCGAAGTAAAACTGACTAGAAATCCTATCGTGAATCCAAATATGCGTGTCCGAACCTTTCACTTACCACATCAAATATCTATTTTCAGCAACTGTTTTCATTCTCATTCCCGTATCTCATTCGGAAAACAATAAAATTGGATTTTCTGCAGATAAATTCTCGAAAAGGTTTTCACAGAAGTGTTTACAGGTTAGCCAGGTTACTGATAACCTGCACAATATATCACGGAAGGGCCGAAGTACGGAATAAATTGTTTTGTTTCACTCTCAAATAGAATAGAATGAAATAACGAAAAGGTCCTTCCACAATGAAAACGATGTTCCGGATGGATGGGCGCGAAATAATCAACAGACCGGGAAGAGTGGATATCTAAAGTTCCAATATACAGGATGATTTCAGAATGTCAAAGGGTCAAGTGAAAATATTCTCCATATCGAAAGTGGATACCGATGGTAAATTATTATTTCAGGTTTATTAGGTACTGCGAACAGTTTGAAAATAATCAATATGCCCACTTATTGGTTTTTTGATAAAAAATTTTGAGCTTCTCATGATAATAACAAGCATAGTAAGTTAACTCAGCTATAAAGCTACTGAATACAAAAAACCAGTTAACATAATACAAACATATAATCGGTCGATCATGAATAATAAAACTTTATTACTTTCCGTTGACTCTGTATAAAGTCGATATGATAAAATGAGAAAAAAGTCTAGAATGAACATTTTCATATAGAAATCAAATTATCACTCAGAAATCAATATTACTTCATAAAAAATTCAAAGGAATTTTTTAAGTTTTGATAAATTTTCACAATTTTCTATTTCTGATGGCAACTTATTACAAATTTTGCAAACTTTTATAGAATGATTGATTTTGTCGGAAACTTGTGTAGAATATCTTTGATTGGATATCAGTTGAATTTCTTGTACTATATTGATGTCTGTTACTTGAAAGCTGAAATATCTTAGAGATATAAAGGAAGCATATCATTCATGGATTTTGTTGCGAGCACCTCTCATTCTATCGTGAAATCCAGCAAGCCATTCTGAGATATCATTTTTGCCTGTCTACGAATTCAAATTAAAAAATCTTTATTGATTAGTTGGGTACAAAATTGTACATATGGCAAGTTTTACAGTAAACAATACACCCACAATGTATCATATACATCATATTGTTTACAGTTAACAATAAAATAATTATATATGAAACATACATATATCAGACAGACAGAATTTTTTGCTACAGTAGTAACATTTGTCCAGTAAGAGATTTTCAATGCTCTTATAGAATAACTTATCTGTTTTAATTTGTGTAATAGCTAACGACAGTGCATTGTGAAGGCTGACTGCATTATACATATTGTGTTGATTCTTTAAATTTGGAGGTTTTGTGTCTAGACACTTTTAATAAATTTCCATTTCGCGTTGGATATTCATAACATGATGAGGTTTTTTCAAGCAGTGACTCATTTTTTCTGGCGTAGTTCACACATTTATATATGTATATGCAGGGAGCTGACAGAAACCTTTCTCTAATGGATACTGGCCTACTACTCTCTGAGTAGTTCATGTCAAAAATCAGTCTCATTAGTTTTGTTATTGTAATACAAAGATCCTGGTGAAGATTTTTGCACTTCCCCAAGACATTATATTGTAAGAAATGTGTGAGTACGCCATTGCATAGTAGACTCTCAGCAGACTTGACCTGCTTGAACATTGCTTCATCTATTTTATTGCAAAATATGCTTTGTTTGATTCCTAACACACACTATCCACACTATTGTTCATCCAAAATTGTACCCGAAAATTTAGCGACAGTTACAACATCAGTATTAAATGAGTCGCATATGTGATCTGGAATATTGCTCCTTCTGTTGTATAGTTTCATAGAAAAAGATTTAGTAGTGTTTAAGTTGTTAAGTTGACATCATTCTGAGAATGTTTCAATCACACAATTAATTTGTTTCATCAAGATTTTGAAATCTCTTCCTGATACAGCGATAGTAGTTTCATCAGCAAACATTGTGATTTGATAACTGTTTGATAAGTTCCGGCAAATCATTGATAAAAATAAGGGATGATAAGGGCCCGAATACCCAAATACCGATCCCTGGGGAACACCTGAGTTTACGTTGACAGATTTGGATAAAACATCGTCATACTTCACAATCGTGTTGCTATTTTTTATGTAGGACTCTATCCACTTGACTAGGTTTTGTGGAAATTAGAACACCGTCAACTACTCCATTAGCAATTCTGATGAAACCATATCGAAAGCCTTGGTTGAGTCTAACGAACGGTTTCCCCTAAAACCATGCTGATTTGTGCAGAGTAAATTATTACTTTCCAGGTAATCTGCTAATTTGTTCACCACGATTTCCTCAAGAAGTTTAGATAGCGAACATAACAGTGAAATTTGCCTATAGTTATCGATATCACTACTTTTTAACTTTTTATATATCTGGATTACTAGAGCGTCCTTAAATAGATCTGGGAAAAAACCTTGAATGAGGGATTGGTTGAATAAGTTTGAATATTGGATGAACAAGAATAAGCTTTCGAATGATGTTAAGTTTCCACAGGATAGGGCACCTCCTCATTATGACAAAGTGTTTCGAGGGTGACTGGATGACAACTGTCCAGACCGATGGATAAATAGACAGATAGATATATAGATGAATAGAAGTTTATTGATCAGACACCAATTAAAATTTGGATTGATAATTCAAAATACCATAGTTACATTTTGATTATTGCTAAAATGAAATATAAAAATTATTAATGTCCGTAAAATACTATAAGAATACTTGTATAAAACCATCCAATACAATTAAAATCGTCCATTCGTCATCGTGAATTCCTTTATATCATAGAATGCATTCAGGAGCAGAAAAAAAG